TGTGGTTCCTATATGTAGTCAAAAAATTTCTCCAGTCCTGCCTGGTCCCACAGTACCACAGCCACTTACAAAATAATCACTCAGGCTGGGCAGTGGTGGCACACACCTTTAATCCCAGCACTCGGGAGGCAGAGCCAGGCGGATCTCTGTGAGTTCGAGGCCAGCCTGGTCTCCAAAGTGAGTTCCAGGAAAGGCGCAAAGCTACACAGAGAAACCCTGTCTCAAAAAACCAAAAAAAAAAAAAAAAAAAAAAAAGGAAAAAAGAAAAAAAATCACTCAGAAACTTAATATTATTTACAGACTGTATGGCCTATGGCAGGTCTCTTGCTAGCTAGCTCTTACATCTTAAATTAACCCATTTCTTTTAATCTATGTTTTGCCACATGTTCCATGGCTTTATTGGTCTGCTGGCATGTTGTTCCTTGGGCGGCAGGTGTCTCCTTACTTCGCCCTTCTTCTCTCTTACTCTCTACTTGGATTTCCCACCTGCCCTTAAGCTGCCTTGCCATAGGCCAATGCAACTTTATTTATCAACCAATCAGAGCAATTCACAGCATATAGAAAAACATCTCACAGCACTTCTGTCTAATCAAAAAGGAAGGTTTTAACTTTAATGTAGTAAAATTATGTATAATAGAACAGTTATCAAACAAGAATTACAGTTATAATATCTAGTCTATTTGTATTTGGCAAAACTAAAGAAAATATTTTATCATCTGTCCTATATTTGTGAGTCTAAAGTTTCATATCTAATTTATCTTTTATCATAACCAAGGAAAATTATAACTATCTAGTCTTTGACTACATCAAAGACCCCCAGAAGGATATAATATTACCTAAGTAAACTGGAAGTGCATTGCAAGCAACTTCCCAAAATCTAGGATGACAGAAACAGCTGGCTTCCTGGACAATCATCCAAAGTTCCTCTGTAACATTGGGGCACCCATCTTCAGCCTATAGGCCTAGAGCATTTTAGTTACTTCTTTCTTTGTCCTGTAGAATATCTGGCAGTCTCATTTGTGAAGCAGGAACCTGAAGGACCATCTCACCTTGCTTTGACAAAATTTAGTGATCATTTCTCCATGGGTCCTGCATGTTCAGTTGATATATCATTCTGTCAAGCAATCCAGGAAAGAACAGTTTCTTGCCCAAATGGCTAACTTTTGCCATAAGGAAAGCAAACTCCATATGGAGTTTCTTCAATGTCCATCATCTTCTCTGAAGTAGATCAGTGCTGCCAGGAGCAAACATGTCTCAATGTCCAGAAAACTCTAAGTTCTTAATATTTTTTTTTGTTTTTTTTGTTTTTCGAGACAGGGTTTCTCTGTGTAGCTTTGCACCTCTCCTGGAACTCTCTTTGGAGACCAGACTGGCCTCGAACTCACAGAGATCCGCCTGGCTCTGCCTCCCGAGTGCTGGGATTAAAGGCGTGCGCCACCACCGCCCGACAAGTTCTTAATATTTTAAATGCCATATTCTGTAGGTCTTTGAAGTGTTTGAAGATTACCTACCTAATTGAAATATATCTATGTATACCTAGAAAACTTAACTAACATGACTATAATTGTGATTATCATAGATGACTAATTATTAATCTTATTTCTTAATTATTCATTACAATTTTAAATGAGTTGCATAAATATAATACCTTAAACAAAAGTAGAAATATATGTAGTATAACAAAATTAACTTTAAATTTGTATCAATAAACTAAAATATAATATAAAATATTATATATAACATAAAACATAGCAATAAAAGACATTTTAAGCAAGTTGTTGCTCTTTAAATGTAGATTCAATAATCTACCCTTTTATCCTATCATTTCTATATCCTACACTTCTACATCATATCCCCCTTTCTTCTTTTAGAAATAGTTTACTATGACCAATAATAATTTGCAACCAACAACCTAAACAAAGGCAAAAATCTGTAATCCATTTTTGGGGAATGTGGGCATAGTTTTCTAGGCTACTTCCTGCTGATTGGTGGTGCTGGTAGTCTTACAGAGACATAAAGAAAATTTTAGGATGATCATCAAATCCTGACTGGAGTAGTCTGTGAGGCTGTATTCTCTGAGCCAGTTGTCTTGAAGCTGTTCTGGATGTTGAATCATCTGGAGACCTCTCTTCCTCGATGGAAACATATTAATCTGGAAGGAATCCACAGGTTCTCATCTTCTGTGGAAACAAAAGCAGAACCACTTTTCCAAAGCAGTGTATCCTTAGACACAAATTTTGAAGTCAAGATACTTTTAAAATATACATATTTGTTTAACTGAGTAGTCTTTACAATCAAATGTCTTTCTGTAGTTAAAAACCCCAAAAGACAATATAATCCAGACTCTGTGTGATTTCCATCTTTATGTGGCTTATGTTTTATATTATTTTTATGTCTCTTTAAAGACTTTATTTTTTAGAATTATATATTGCTTTACATAACTGTATATCTTCCTTTTCCTTTCTCTTCCAAGCCTACATACATTTTTACATATAATGTAAACCATTTAGAGGTTTATTCCATCTAAACCTGTCTTTTGTGTATCTATAATTCTTTTCTGATCATTGCAAATTGCAGCATGGCTAAGATTGAAGCAGCAGCCCTGGCTGCTGATTCCACCCACTTCAGCTTTTCAACATGGCAGAGGTACCCAGGAGAGTCATGCTTATCCCACCTACTCTGGGGTCCATGCTGCCATCAGCCCTTTTGTCTGTATGAGTAAAAGCTAAATCAGCCATGCAGTGTGTTGTGCAAGTTTGGAGACAGCTGTGTGTATCAATTCGGGAATCCATCATGCTGTGCTCAAGTCCAAATGCTGTGGCATCTTGCAGCCCACATGAGACATGAAGTAGGAAGCTGTTTGGGGCTCCGTTTTAGAATCTCTTATTAAGTTCTCTCAGGTTTTAGGTGGAAACTCAAGCCAACAAGTTGGGCAGTGAAATGCAGTCAAAAGTTTTCTTCCATTTCGCCTGGCCCCAATGTTCCACAGCCACTTATAACATAAACACTCAGAGGCTTAATATTGTTTACAAACTGTATGGTCTATGGCAAGCCTCTTGCTAGCTAGCTCTTATATCTTAAATTAAACAATTTCTACTAATCTATGTTTTGCCATGTGTTCCATGGCTTTACTGGTCTACTGGCATATTGCTCCTTGGGTGGCAGGCTGGAGTCTCCTCACTCTGCCCTTCTTCTCTCTGTTTCTCTACTGGGATTTTCCACCTGCCCTTAAGCTGCATTGCCATAGGCCAATGCAGCTTTATTTATCAATCAATCAGAGCAACACATATTCACAGCATACAGAAAGACATTCCACAGTTATAGTTTTCCTTGTTAACAAATTCAGAAAAGAAACTCACTACAGAGCTATAAAGTGTCTAAGTTTGAAAGACATCAAATGATAGATTTTGGTTGGTAATACAAGTTAGGGTAAAAAGTGAATTAGGTACAATTTGGACTCATCAAAATAGGATAAATAATGGAATATTTTCTCTGAATTTGTCAAATGTTTATGGACTGGACATTGTTAATATAATTCTTGACTGTATATATTGAATATAGTTATTGTAATTATTGTACATAGTTTTTCTTATATTAGTTATAACCTTTTATTATTTTAGACAAGAAAGGAAAAATGTGGTGATATATTGTATACCCCAATAAAACTTTCCTGCAGATCAGAAGACAAAGCCAGCCACTAAATTAGACATAGATGTCAGGCAGTGGTGACACACACCTTTAATCCTATCACTTGGGAGGCAGAGATTCTTCTGGAGCTCTGTGAGTTCAAGGCCACACTGGGAACAGAGCCAGGCATGGTGGCACACACCTTTAATTCCAACACATGAGATCTCATGTCTTTGCTTGGGAAGGACACAGGCCTTTAATCCCAGGAAGTAATAGGGCAGGCCACAGAAAGGTATATAAGTTGTGAGGAAACAGGAACTCACTCTCTTGAGGCTGAGGATTTCATAGAGGTAAGAATGTGGCTGGCTTGTTCTGTTTCTCTGATCTTTCAGCTTTCACCCCAATATCTGGCTCTAGATTTTTTTTATTAATAAGACCATTTAGGAATTCATGTTATACTTATATTTTTACCCATTTGTGGAAGACTTTAGATTGTTAGAAGCACAGAACAACAGAGTACAAGAAATATCAGCTGACATCACTAAGGTGTTATGAAGTAAGAGGGCTTCTTAGCTCTGTGTTATGTAGGGCAATCCATTAACAAATTAAAACAACTAGTTACAAACTAATATAGGAATATGTCCATAATGTTCACTCTGAGTTACAGTACAATTGAAGCAAGAATTAAGGCAATAAAAATTATGAATTGTTAGCCCACTGGAGTCATTGATATTTAGAGATATTAAGGATGAGACTAGACTGGATAAATGGTCTGCTATTCTTGTGAAGAATACAATGTCTTGATCAATGAAATAAAATTTTGTTGGAGTTGTAAAGGAATAAAGGGATGGTATTTGGAGAGAGGTAAAAGTGAGTGTAAATCACTACATGAAGGTCCAGAAGCAGTAGAAAAGTGTTTGGGCAATAGTAAGACACTTTCCTTTACTAGATTCAAGTTAAAAAGGTGAATTAATGACTTGGTGTGGTGAGCATTAGGTGAACAGACAATAAACTCCTGCCAGACAGGGGGACTTATATTAATTTGTGAAGCAATCAACAACTGTGAGAATGATATTGACTGTAATATATAGAACATCACATCTTTGATATTCCAGAAGTGGCTAAAACTAAGGAGAGACAAGGTAGTCATGGGAAAAATCAAAATCAATCTGGGACTATGGATAGGACAGGAAAGGAGTGGGTCAGAATACAGGCAAGACAGGTGATGATTTATAAAGTCAGGCACCTGTGGCCTGAAAGGGAATGAAGCTTGCATTCAAGGCATTTTATAATCACACAAGGACTTTGCCAATGCAAAGTCTTCTTACCCCAGAGGCTTTATAGTTTTTCATGCCACAGGAAGGTTCTCGGCTTCAGAATTGCATCTTCAGTACTTTTTTCAATGTAGGGTTACTCATCATCAGTGAAGTATAGTGAATACAGACTAAACCATAGATGACAGCTTCACAGACCCAGAACCATGATTTCTTATCAAATATGGTGCCTATAAAGGAGACTACTATAGTCAGAAAATAGGATGTGAAGAAGACAAAGAAGGTAGTAAGTGACCTCAGAACAGTGGACTGAGCTTTCATGCTGCAGTTGTTGGTGTTATACTCTTTCATCTGCCCCCAGTGTCGGACCAGTGAGACTGTGAGTAAGATAATAGCAACCAGGAACACGAGGAAGGGAATACCAAAACCAATAACTTTAAAAGGACCGGAAAAACGCTGTTCAAACATCTTGAGTCTTACAATCAAAGTACTGTTTCTGGGTAAATGATCTAGGGTGATTAATTCATTCTGGATTTGATATTTAACAATGGAAGGGATGATTGACAAACAAGAAGCTATCAGAGTACCCAATATCAACCAAGGAACCAATTTCAAAATTTTCCACTTCAGCCAATGGAAGATGGGGTGGGTGAAGGAAGAGACCTTGGCACAGTAGAAGACAGCAAGAAAACTGGTTAGCCAGAATGTCAAAATGTTCATAAACTCCCAGATGACTGATATCTTCCATAATACTTGTACAGGTCTAGAAAAGGTGCCAAAGTTGTATACCATTGATGCCAATTGTAGACAGAAATGTGAAGTGCCAAGGCTAATAAGAATCATTTCCACCGGTGACAGTCTTTGAAAGTTCATCCACTCTCTGAACAGCACTGCAACAGTCATACCACTTTGTATAATTATTATCAAGGACTCAAGCACATACATGACGATGGAGAAGATGCTGACTTGGTTTGGCACCATGCTTCTATTCTGAAGTATCTTCCCGAAAAAATACTCAGAAGCTCTACACCAATTTCCAAATATGAAACAAGTATGTGTTCTCACTCTCTTGGTATAAGAGAACACCTTCTTGTGGATGCAAATCCCCTAAGTCTCTTTTGACATAGTCATTTTCCTATCTACAGGATTTGTCTATGCTTTGCTTGTTGGGTTGAATTCACACAGAGATGTATGAAAATAATGTTTGGATGTGGATTTTTGATCCTAAGATGATTTGATTATTTTCATAAAGAGACATCCACTGCATATTCATGATGTTTTTTTCTTCTTTACCACTTTATCTGCTCAAGGTACTCTTTGATTATCTTTCCATCTTCTTTAAAATTTAGGAATTTAAAACTTGAGCAGAAGAAAAGATGAATCCTTCACTGTGTGTTCATGTCCTGGGTAATGTTTTCACTCTGTCAAATGTCATACTAGTGCCAGCCTCAGAAGCCCTGTCTTTCCAGCACCCCTCAACAGCTGGGGATGTGAGCACTAACAACAAAATGTGAGGGAAAATGAAAAGGGTAACAGAAGTCTTTGCTTGAAAATCCCGGTCATAATTACTAGAAGCTCGGGCCTTTCAGTGTCCCCATCTGTTGAGAGTCTCGAAACTGAAATCTCCCAACTCAGAGATGGCAAATTGCAGGGAAAGCATCACAGACTCTTCTTTGACCTCCCAATGGAGATGAAGTAGTCTTCCTACTACTCTTCTATTAATTCTAATGCCTTCAGTACACATTTTTATATAGTTTTGGAAATTGTTCTTGTTTCACTAAGATCGTTTTTGTTTCTTCTTTCACGGCTAGGTTCTTTGTGTCACTTTTCACAGATGAATTGGAAGAGAATCATCTCAACACCAGTAAAGCATATCCCTTCTAAATGCATAAGGCATTTTGTCACAGATATGCAACAAGGCTAGAGAAGTACATTTCCTTTGGTACTGGACAAGTATCAAAGTAGAAACCAACTATTTAATTGGTGGCTTCAAAACTGAGAGACAGATTCTAACAATTGGTAGCTAGTGAGAGGAAGAAAGTGAAAACTGTTGTCTCTGTGAATTCCAAGCCTGGATGGACATTTAATTATTCAAGAACGGGAAAATAGAAGTAATCTAACATGATAGTTAGAATTGCTAAGCATAAACCTTCAAAGCCTACTGAACTCAGTGGTACAAAGGAAGACAATAGATTTCCAAAACTTACACAAGCACCTAGAATTAAAATTAGAAAACATCTTCCTTGCATTTTCAGTAAAATACAAAAAGTAGGAAATGAAATAATGAAACAATAGCTTTAACTTAAAAGATGGATTGATTGAGATGTAGGCTCCCCACACAAGAGGAGAGTGAGTGTGAAGTGTTTTTAGAGAAATGTGCAAAGACACCAGTAAGCCCTGTTTTGTTTGCTGGTCTGCTGAGCATGTTCCCTCCTATGTATAGTGACCTTAGAAAGACTGTGATGTTACAAGCCTCTGTTTCAGGAATTGTTCAATTAGGGACATCATGTCACAGCCCTAAGGACTGATGATAGCTACAAGAGTTCAGCCAGAAATGAATCTCTGTCTGAAGTGGCATTTTATAGCTATCCTACATCTGAAGAGACACCTGATGCTCCCCTGCCTCACAGGGCTGTCCTTTATGTGGTTGTGAAAATTAAATTTCCTAGCTATTCCATTTAGAAGTGTTTGCCTGAGACACACAGAATGAGTTGACATTCTCTGGGGTTAGAACTTCAAAAACTGGTTCTTCTCTTGTGTGAGCTCATCTCTTCACTCTCTGCTGTAGTGATACGAACTCAGGCTTGCCTTCTTCCTCCTTTAGCACCCACTGATATCCTTTTTCCATACCCCTGAGAATTGTTATCCATTGGCCAATGCTGACAAGTGGACAGTCCCAGTGTGTGTGTGTCTATGTCTGTGTGTATAGCACTCATGCCACAATCTGCTTGTGGAGAGGACAGAGGACAACTTGTAGGAATCAGGATTCTTTCTTTTCACTATGGGGATGCTGGGACTCAAACTTAGTTTGCCAACCTTGCCACTATTGAGCTTTCTAGTCTTCCCCAGTTCATGGATGGGAACGCAGGGTCTCCAGGCTGCATGCTCCTTCCAGTTCTGTCTCCACTTCTTAGACAGAGCCAAGGCCCACTAGATTGTTTCCTAATTATTTTTACTTTTTCCTTACGGGCAATATAATAGTCACAGCTAGAGGTTTTATAGCTGTCACTCCTGGTTTCTCAGGGCATAACCTAGTCTCATCTTACGCGACCTAATATTACTTATTTGTAAGTTTTGTATAACTAATTTACTCATTTACGGATTTTACTATTGTTAAACAAGACACATGTAGTCCTAGGCATTAATCTCTTTTACTATCGAAAATAGATTTTTTTCTTATAATAATTCTGATTATGATTTTCCTCCAACTCCTCCTGGATCCTCCATAGCTCCTCACCAACCCAAACCCACAACCTTTCTTGCTCTCTTTCTCTCTTATTAGAAAACTAATCTCTCTTTTATATATGTGTGCTTGTGTGCATATATTTACTTTGTAAAATATTAAAAATGGGAAAATTAAAAAGAACATTCAATTAACAGAAGGCAAACAATATAACCAAGAATATCTCAAAAACAGATACTTTTTAACTTTCCCATTCCCAAAACAAAGTATACAATTTAGGTAATAGCAACTTCAATTGGAAGCTATAGGAAAATAGAAAGCTGTATTCACTTCTGGAAGGAATGTAAATTAATAGTGCTATATTGAAAAGCAATTTGATCTCATTAATAAGATATTATTGGGTATATGTTGTATGTTATAGAGAAACTCTTGCATATTTGTGACAAAGGAGATATTTACCAGTCTATTTCAGAAGTGCTCATAATACCAATGGACTAGAAACTGCGTAAATAGCCAGCCACTGAGAAAGAGATAAAGTGTGGCACATTCATATGATGCCATAAAACGACACAGACATTTATTTGCCTTCCTCCAAAGTAGTTTACTACACTTGATTCTTGCTGGCAGAAGTTGCCTCTTACTGGAGATATTTTAAATGCCAGACTTAGTTTAATGTCTCCTTTGCATATTCAGTCTGGGCATGAAAATCAATTCTGGGGATAGAGCCCAGAAGAGAAGCCTTTTGAGATATTCTATGGGAATATTCTTCTCTGATAGTACAGAGATCCTTCTTTTCATACTGTGTTGTTCTAAATTGCATGTGATGCTGAGGACAACTATAACCTTGAGGAGAAATCAGAGGAAGCACATGGACACACACACACACACACACACACACACACACACATACACACACACACACAGGGGCACAGAAACTCATATTATTGCAGGGGGTTTAATAATTTTGGATTGAACTAACTCTGAAAGCTATGAAATAGTTTTCTCTGTGTAGTTTATCTTTGTAGTTTAAACCACTGAGAAGCTTGGCCCTGTGGACTCATATCAAGCAGAGAAATAGAGGGAAAGAGAAATATAGTGTTTTTGTTGCTGAATCAAGAGACTTACAAACACTCATTTTATGTGGCACTTAAGGAAACTTCAAAACACAAAACAGACCTGATTGTTAGCCTCACCAGTGAACACTATTGCTCTCCTGTAGACTAAGTGTAAGCAGCTATGTTGTTGTCTGAGTAAGGTGATAATCCTAAATCATTCTAACAAGAAATTAGCAAAGATGCCAAAATATGGGTACACAAATTGTTAGTTACTTTTTAAAGGAGAAATCTATATCCTGGGACATTTTACTGAAATAAATGCATTGAAAGCATGAAAGAAATGTTTATAAATTCATGTATGTCATATGTGACACTGTGCTAACTATGGTTTCCAAGATCTGCACTGATGTAACTGTGCATTACCAATGAGTAGAGCAGCAGGACCAAAAAGATGTGCTGACACCAATTCACTCATGCCGTTGAGATAAGACATGACCCTTCAAAATGTCCGCATGCTAATGCTCAAACTTGTGAATGTGTAAACTCATATGGCAAAATGGACTGTTGCAGGCATGAATTCAGTTTGTCTTTTGAAGTTGTAGGAATTTGTTATGGCAGCAGTAGGAAAACAATCTGAGAACCTAGTAGTCAAACTGCACTATTACTTAGTTTTTAATTTGTAGATATTTATGTTTAGTCATCTTTGTTATCAGCAGCACTACCAATCAGAATTCATTGTTTTCTTGTGGACTTCCAAAAGTTTTGCCATTGAAGAGAATATCTAGAAGGAAGTGAAAGATAAGGAGGCCCAAGTCCAACATGGGAAACAGATTTTTTTTCCCTTTCTAATTCTGTCACCCACTTGCATGGCCCAAAAGGAGTCAGCTTTTATTTGTTTTCTATCTCATCCTTTAAATAAAAATCCACAGCACTAATTTGTTTAGTCTCCAACATATTGGGTGGATGCATTCCTGTAACTCTGGGAGCATGTACACAGCCAACTGGAAAATTGAAAATTATAGAAAATGCAAGAAGTAGAATTTAATGCTAACATTACAACCTTTCAGTGGACCTAGGCAAAGTTTGCACTGAGAGAGCTAAGGATTGCTTCTATCATCAATAATGAAACAACCACATTCAGGTTACACACTTCACATTGGCAGAAACTCACTTTATACAATGAAAATATCAGAGATTCAATTTTCATGTTTCTTCCTTAAAAGACTGAATTCTAGGTTTAATCAGAGGATTCTTATAGGCAGTTTTTCTGGGAACAAAGAAAGATTGCATTCTCTTCTTTTATCCCAGTTTTATAGAGTAGTAATGCAAAAACAGTTTCACAGGCCGTGGTCCAAGTCACATTTGAGAAAATTTCTTTTATGAAGACAAACTATGCTTGTTGTAATTGTGATCATTTATTCACTTAGCAAATATTTATTATGATTCTATTATAAGTCAGACTGTCATAATGAAGCCTGGGGAGTAAGAAGGGGGTCTGTAAACACTAAGCAAGGGATGTATAC